CCTGCTGATGGTGGGGCCGGGCCTGGGGAAGCCATCACTTCACTTTCTGAAAGACCTGCACACAAACCTCGTCCTCAGCTGTCATGCGCTGGGGTACAGGCAGGGATGAAAGCAGAGTTTAGGCTGGATCCTGCCTGTCTCTTGTCCCTGCCTTTGTCCCCTCTTGGCCCCAGGCTGCTGTGCTCCAAGGCGAAGCTGTGTTTGCCCACTGCAGTTGCCTGCCCTCGCAGCTCCTGCTGAGCCTCCCCTCACAGAGCCCCAGCTGACTGTACTGCACAGTGGGAAAAGGACATCAGATCCACTGAGCTGAGTTAACTTTTAAGTTGGAGAGGCGGATGTTTGTGTAAAGTGGCCATTGCCCCTGAGCAGCTGGGGCAGGCACCTCAGAGAAGCTGAAGGGAAGCTGCACAGGCTCATTCCCAGCTCCCACAGGGTGTCTCCCCCCATTCTCTGGGATTTAGCATGCTGCACCAGACCCCTCCTCACCAGATGCAGCTGGTCCCCCTCCAGCCAGTGCCTCCAGCCTCTGTTCCTCTTCTCTCCTAGCTGCTCACACACCAGCTGATCACCTTCCCAGGAGACAGTTGTCTGAAAAAGAAGAGGGGGGAGACATAGGCCCAGGAAAAGAAAATCCTAGCAATACTGATTTTCAGGGCTGACATTCACTGTTCCTTTCAGACACATATTAAAATGCAGCCCTTGATCAGGCATTTCTTTTGTGGCTCCTAGGGACTCTTTGTGGTGGGTGAATGACCCCATGGCTCTGCAACTGAACACTGGTAAGCACTCTTGAGCTTCTAGATTTACAGAGCTTTGCTACAGAGGACAGTATCCCCTGTGTTCCCAAAGTGCTGTTTTTCTAGCACTCTGGTTTGTATCCCTCTGCTGTGGGGTATTTGCTCATTGAATCACTTCCTCCTGGACCTCCTGAATAAGGCCAGCTCTGAGCTGGGCTTTCTGGTGGCTCATGCATCAGAATCTGGGCAAGTCCCTAAATTTCTAATCCAGTCAATCCACTGACACACCACCCTGCTTGAGCTTCTCACCTGGCACTTGCGTCCATCTACAGGTCCCAGATCTTCTTCAAACTGGACTCCCACGTCAAAATCCATCACATAGTCCCGCAGGGACGTGATTGTACGGATGATCATGTGATCTCCTGTGTGGATGATCTCTTTATCGGGCTTCAGGAGGCAAACCAGTTTCCGCAGGACCACATTGATATCTGGAGAATGAGAGTGTAGGGGCAAGGCCTGTGGGCTACCTGTGTGCTTCTTGCAGAGCTCCTGCACCCCTTATCAGCTGGGGAGCTGACATCCCTGACAACAGATGATACGAGGCCATGCTATCCCCCTTTCCCTTGCCACCTCGTGGGGCTATGACAGGAATAAAAGTTGAGAGTCACAGACAGAAGGATCAGAGAGCACCCAAATCTTTTCCTCCTCTTGCCTTATTCTTCAGGCTGGCATGTTTGGAGATGGAGAGAGGAAAAGGGGAGGAAGGCGCGAGAGGAGAAGAGTGGAGTTACCTAAAGCCCGCAGGTAATTGTCCATGTTCTCCTGGGAGACGAAGCGGTAATAGCCGGTGAGGTTGGGCGGCATCCCCGGGGAGAGGGCCCGGCCAGGCGCGGCGCAGCGGATGGGGCGGGCGGCGCTGCTCGGGC